GCTGGGTTTGGTCCCTCAGACCCCCCCCACTGGCTCCCCGCTCCATACTGGCACCCTGAATTCATATCCTGGAAGACCTGGTTGAAGTCTGGTCCCTCTTTCCCTGTGGAGATAAAAACAATAGCTGATCCCTGATTGCTGAATTGGGGCCGGAGGGGTTCAAACCCTGCCCAAGATGGTACGTTGGTGTGCCCTTTCAGTGCAGGGTCTCAGTGGTGCTGGGGGGAATTGCCTTAATTGGCAAGATAACTTTAGAGGCCCGATGGAGGTTTCGTCAGCAGTGCGGAGCACTGTAGAGTGCTGTTACAGCTGCCTTCAGTGATGCATCACTATCTTTTGAAGTAGATTCTCTGAAAATCTTAGGTTGACTAACATACATATTTTAAAGCAAATTTTTAATGATTAGTGCCCTGGCTTTTTTAAATTTTTTAATTTTGGGTTTTAAGTTCTTAAACATTGCTTGACTTTCACTGGTTACCTTTTGTCTCAGGACACATTTTCTGCCCCTAAATATGTGTATGGGAGGGCGGCCTATAATCAGCTTCAGATCTGTAGATGACTTGTCCTTAGACTTGCCCACGTATTCTTTAATAAAAGGGATAATGTTGAATTATTTTGAGAATAGGATTTATGTTATTCCAGGATGCACTGAAGTTCAGCTGGGCTTTAGTATTTATTGGAAATCTATTATTTGACTGCAACCTTTGGAAAGCTGAATAGCTGAGCATCTCCAACAACATTTCTACTACATGAACCCATGTGATGAATAGATACTTTGTATAGTTTACCATTTATACCTCATCAGAGAAGCAGCATGAATCAGATAAACAAGATTTGCTGTAACTCATCCTGAGAATTTCTTTTAGCCACCCACAGACAAACTGTGTGACCTGCAAGACATTTTAATATTGCCTTGTCATGCGTGAATATTTATAAGATGTTCAAAGAGTGTGATATGGGAGCGATTATATATTTAAAAGGTTGCTGTAATACTATACTTTGCAGATACCAATATCAACCGTGCAGAGAGAGAGTGGTTCATTTGCTGCTGTTGTTTACTTTTGACATTACCTGTATTTCTTTTATCTTTGTAAAACTTTCCAATTTATTCAGCTTCAGACTAAATACTAAAATTGGGGAGCAAACACTGAAAGCTGAGATGCAGATGTGATTTTTTTCTGAAAATCAGTTACTGTGTTTCATGACTATAGTTCCAGGTTCCAGGTTTCCGTATAAATAAATATATTACCTATACAAATATCAGTTAGGGTAATGATCTTATGTCTGCGTCTGAAAAATTGAGAAAGCATTTCTTTAAGCCAATAAATAGTTTTAGTTAGGAGATTTTATGTATTTTAATAACAGTATACCATCATCATTGACAAAATCTTTAAATCCAGGAATGGACGAGAAGGTGGATTTTTATTTCAGTTACTATTTCACTGCCCAATATTGTCAAAATTACCCAAATAAAACACTGCCCGATATTGCCAGAATTACCCAAATGAAACCTTTTCTATTGATCTGTTGAAAGTGAGTGTCAGATTTAATATCTTAAATATGCTTTATGATGCACAATGTATCATTCTAGGAGTTGATCGTGTTAAGAAATTATTGTGCTTACACTGTCATATATTTAAATACTGGTTACTAAATTGTTAAAATAGAAGCCCTGGTGTCACAGTGGTTACTCCTGGCCTGCAAACTTCAAGGTCAGCAGTTCGAAACCACCAGCCACTCTACAATTGAAAGATGAGGGCTTTGCATTCTCGTAAAGTTAAAGTGTTGGGTATTCTGCTCATTTTTTGACTACCAAATTCCCAAAATGAACTTAAAAGGATACAGGAAAGAGCTGTAGCTCTGAATTTCCCTGATAGTCCTGGAAGTCAGGAAGAGAAGATTGCTATGGAAAAGACAGAAAAATGAATCAAAAACATAAGAAAAATAAGGAGAGTAAGCTTAAGGGAGTTCCTTTTAGACAAGGAATGAGAGAGCTTATTTCTAGGCCTTCCTCAATTCTGACCTGATGGATCAAATAGCACCCTCTTTATTTATTTATCCAGGGTTTTTTTCCCAATCATTTTATTGGGGCTCATACAACTCTTAGAACAATCTATACATATGTCTATTATGTAATGCACACTTATACATTCGTTGCCTTCATCATTCTCAAAACACTTGCTTTCCACTTGGACTTCTGGAATCAGCTCCTCATTTTTCTTTTCTTTCCCCCCTCCCTCCCTGCTCCTCCCTCCCTCA